GCGGGGCGACGTGGCGGCGACGCGCGCGCTCCTGGCGGCGGGCGCCGACTTCCGCGCACGCGACGCCGAGGGTCGTTCGCCGCTCGACGTGGTACCCGCGGGTGACGCCGAGGACGCTAGCACATTCTCAGAAGATATGGACGAAGACGCAGCACTGAAGCTGGTGGCGTCCTACATCAGAATACATTCCCTAAAAGCTCTTCTGGACCGAAACAACGAGTCGCATATCCTCCACAAGAAGAAGTATAGTCCGCTGCATTGGGCTGCAAAGCCTGGCCGTGAGCGGTTGTTGCGAGAACTGATCGAAGCCAGAGAGAACGTGAACATTTTAGACAGTCGTGGCCGCACGCCAGTGGTGTGGTCTGTCATCTATGACAACGCAGTGGGCGTGAGAATGTTGGCTGAGGCAAATGCTGACCTGGAAATCCCCGACGATGACAGTTACAATCCTCTTCTCCATGCTGCTCCGTTTGCGGAGCGCATACATGCTATGACTGAGCTTTTGAAGTTTAAGGTGAATGTAAATGCTACAGACAACGCGAACAAGACAGCGCTGGTTTTGACGGGGTACCACAACAATGTGGAGGGCACGAAAGCTCTATTAGAAGCTGGAGTTGACAAGGAAACACTTGATAATACTGGGTATTATCCAATTCACTGGGCGACTTACCCGAAATCAGTGGACTCGCTGAAGCTGCTGGTGGAAGCTGGAGTAAACGTTCACTCTAGAGACAAAACGAACATGACCGCTCTTGGTTACACGGCGAAATACAACAACGTGGAGGGTTGCAAGATCCTTTTAGCAGCTGGGGCCGATAAGGAAGCAGTGGATCAATGGGGCTATCACCCGATTCACTGGGCAACGTACGGAGACACGTTGGACACGCTGAAGCTGCTAGTACAAGTGGGAGTGGATATAAACGCGCGGGCGAACGACGGGAAGACGCCGCTCCATTGGACGACAGGGCAGTACGACAACGCGGACGGGACGCGCGTTCTTCTGGCGGCCGGCGCCAACGCCACGC